TTTTTTTTTTTTTTTTTTTTTTCAAGACAGGGTTTCCTGTGCCAGGCAGTGGTGGCACACGCCTTTTAATCCCAGCACTCGGGAGGCAGAGGCAAGAGGATCTCTGTGAATTTGAGGCTAGCCTGGTCTACAAGAGCCAGTTCCAGGACAGGCTCCAAAGTCACACAGGAAACCCTGTCTCGAAAAACCTAACTAAGTAAATAAATAAAATAAAAAAAGACAGGGTTTCCTAGTCCCCGATCCTACTCCCCACCCCCCATGCTCGTGTAAATAAACACACACACACACACACACACACACACACACACACACACACACACACACGGAAAAAAAAAATTAAAATATTTATTGTTAGAGACATGATCTCACTATGTAGTCCTGCCTGGCCTAGAACTTAATATGTAGACCAGGCTGACTTTAAATTCACAAAGATATACCTACTTCTGCTTTTCAACTGCTAGGACTAAAAGCATGTACTACCATGGCCAAACCAATAAAATAATGATTAAATATCTAAATAAGGCTTGGCAATAGTGGTGCACAACTTTAATTCCATCACTGTGGAGGCAGGGCAGGCAGATCTCTGTGAGTTCAATCAAGGCCAGCCTGGTCTACAGAGCAAGTTCCAGGACAGCCAAAGCAACACTGAGAGACCCTGTCTTAAAAAGGCAAAAAATAAATTATAAGTAAAAAAGTTAAGACTATTAACAGCTACATAAACAAATGAGTCTAGGGGCGGGAGAGATGGCTCAGAGATTAAGAGCACTGACTGTTCTTCCAGAGGACCGAAGTTCAATTCCCGGTAACCACATGGTGGCTCACAACCACTTTGAATGAGATCTGGTGCCCTCTTCTGGCATGCAGGGAGAAAACGGTATATATGATAAATAAATAAAATCTTAAAAAAAGAGAGAAATGAGTCTTGATGGATAAGACTGCAGTGAATAGCTAGGCGTTGATGGCACATGCCTTTAATCCTAGCACTCGGGAGACAGAAGCAGGTGGATCTCTGTGAGTTTGAGACCAGCCTGGTCTATAAGAGCTAGTTCCAGGAGAGTTCCAAAAAAAAAAGTAATGAGAGCTCATTTTAGAAAGAAAAATATGGACAAAGCCCTGGACATGAGATGGGCACTGGGATTTGGAGGTAGTAGGATCTTGGAATAATTGCAAGGAGAACTTGCAATTATTATGCTTATGTACTATAAACATAGAAAAGAAAATCACGGCTGGCTACAGCCCAGTCAGGCAACAAATGTTCAGGAAGCTAAAGGGTATGCATTCCCTTTAAAAAGATGATGTTTGGTTGCTCTCTCAGACAGAGGACAGAGGGAGAGGCATAGGAAACAGAAAGCCCAATGTGGAGGTAATGAAGGCCTTCACGTGCTTGGACCTCCTCCAAGGGAATACTCTCTGGGAGTGGAGAGCTGACTCACTGAGTCGAGTGCTTGCCAGGCAAGTGTCTGGATTCCCAGCACCCACTTAAATGTCAACAAAACAATGTCTTCACCTCTTGACTGTGTGCAGCCCCGGCTGGCCTCAAACCTATGGCAATCCTCTTCCCTCTGCCTCCTAAGTACTGAGAAATATGCCACCACACCCAACAATGCTATCTTTCAATAGAGAAATAGGCTTTTTATCATGTCCCCCTTCCCCCTACCAAGAATGAGAGAAAGCTAAGTTCCATGACCTCACTATCATTTCAGCAACTTACCTGACCCAAACGCTTCTGTCCAGCCCACACAGATGTATGGATTATCTTGAGGAAAAGCTGCCCCGTACGTGGGTTAAAGATGAAGATGGCTCCGTTGATGGGTTTGGTTGTCAAGTTCCCCTCAAAGGTCTAAAGAACAATTATATGAGTTAGCATGGACTAGACATAACTACGCTGACTTCATCCAATGTGTACACATACTCGCACAGGCATTTGAAGCCTGCATGGCCACACTCACCTTGTGGATGGTCACTCTATAGACATTGGTGTCATCCACAAACCAGATAATCTGGTTAGAGAAGAGTTCACCATAGTTCTGAGAGGACAGATAAGGCTCAGTGGGCTCAGATGAATACAACTGCAGTCCTTTGCGGATCCGTTCACGTAATACATACAAGGCAGGATTTGCCTTCATGATCTTGGCCATAGCCTGCTGTATAAGAGGCTTGCTGCCTGGAAACCAGTTTCCATAGGCACTGTAAGGGTGAAAGCATCACAAGAATTTATGCATAGGCAGAAAGTCCCAAGAGAAAGTACAACATAGGGACAAAGTCAGTTGTCCAGGCTTATGTAACCTGGTAACACACATACATACGGAGAGAAGCGTCAGTCAGTGACCCAGAAGATAAAAACCTCATCTTAGTCAGGCAAACTAAAACCAGCATAAAAGTACTAATGTGTGGGGCTGGAGAGATGGCTCAGCGGTTAAGAGCACTGGCTATTTTTCCAGAGGTCCTGAATTCAATTCCCAGCAAACCACATGGTGGCTCACAACCATCTGTAATGAGATCTGGTGCCCTCTGCTGGGCATGCAGGCAGAAGACTGTACACATAATAAATAAATAAATAAATAAATAAATAAATAAATAAATAAATAAATAAATAAATAAAATCTTAAAAAAAAAAAAAAAGGCTAATGTGTAGACAGCCTCTGTGAGCATGGTTTACAGTAAGTTCCAGGCCAGCCAAGGCTATACATATAGCGAGACTGCACTTCAATAAATGAAACAAAACATAGAAAAGTAATGGAAAGCCCATGAGTCCTAACTCACCTGTGTAGATTATAGGCCAGGTCAATGGCAATGAGCACACCTGTGGGAGAAGGGTAGATACTCATGTTGTCTGTGGTATAATCCAGGAACTTGGCCCGGGCATAGCGCTCGATATCATGGGAATCATAGTCTCCCCATCGTAACTGGATGTCAATCCAATACTTCTGTGTAGTTGTGCTGTCCATCACATCCCTAAGGGTGGAAAGAGTTCAGGTTTCCAGGAAACCACAACATTGCCGATGTCTCAGAATCATAAGAACTCCCAAATACTGCACCTAAATCTCATACCCATCCCCCTTCTCATTCTAGATCAGCAAGACCCTTAGCCAGGCAGTGGTGGTGCACATCTTTAATCCCAGCACTCAGGAGACAGAGACAGCAGATCTCTATGAGTTCGAGGCCATCCTGGTGTACAGAGCAAGTTCCAGAACAGCCAGGGCTACACAGAGAAACTGTCTTGAAAATCAAACAAAACAAAAAGATCATTAAGACCGCAAGCAATCAGCAGATCTGACTGTTGGTAGGTTACAGGATAACACTGCTCCAAGTTTAATAGAATGCCAGCAAAGAGTTGGGAGGGTGCCCACTCTAGTACAGCATTTGGGGGCCTGAGGCAACAGGATTATAACATCAAAACCAGAATAAAATGGGTAGGACTAATCCCTAAAGTAACACTGAGGTTCTGGGTTCCTAATGCTGGGCCACAAAATACTTACTTGGAGTCTGCCAGCAGTGAGGGCCGGGAGACATTCCACTTATAGGAAGCAAAGAGTAGTATGTCAGCACAGGAAGAATTCATCTTATAGGATTTTCGGGGATGGATTGTCTCCTTTTGTACTGTCTCAATTTCCAGTGCATCCAATTCCTGGTCAAAGACCTGGAGGTAAAGATGAAAAGATTGTACCTTAATATAGAAATCCATTTACAATGAGAACTGACAGAATTTATATGAGGCAATAAGAGTCTACACCTTGGTGTGTCCAGGATAAATTTCCTATACTCAAAAGAGTAAGCTGGCTGGGCACGGTGATGCAGGCTTTTAATCCTAACACTTGGGAGGTAGAAGTAGGCAGGTTTTTATGAGTTTGAGACCACCCTGGTTTACATAAGGAGCTCTAGGCCAGGACCACATAGAAAAACTTTGTCTCAAAAAATAAAAAATATCCTGGTCTACAGAGAAACCGTGTCCCAAAAAAAAAAAAAAAACCAAAGAAAACCCTAAAACTAAATGGATAAAACAACAATAAATAAATAAAAAGTAGCAAGCTTGGTATGACTCTGTGATCTCTCACCTGACATAAGTCCATCACGATGCTCTCATGGATCTTCTGCCACAGGTGAGCTCGGAATATCTGGATAAGAGAGATCTTCAGTGTGGGTATCTTGCCATGCATGAAGATTCCTGTCAAGTCCAGCTGTACCTGGAAGCCTACATATACCTGTCAGGAAAGAGAAATAACATTAGAGACAAAATTAAGGCAACAGAAACACCTTTTTCTAATCTCCCATATTGAAGAATCACACTCACATTGGCTCGATTGATTGTGGGGGACCACCAGAGGGTGAATCTACGATTAGGAATCTGGTTTAATCCTGATCGCTGAGCATTGGTTAGCTTCTTCCACTTCATGGATTCCTCAAAGCCACTGGCTTTCTCCCTGAGGGGCAGAGGAACCAAATAAGATGATACTCATCCATCTCCCAGAGATGGCTAATGCCCACAGGATAACTGAGAAGCAGCAAACCACTAAAGCTCAGCAGTGAGGAGCTCAGGTGGTTGTGACAAGTAAAGAGGACAGAGTCCTTACCAGAACAGACCTTCCCAGGTAGGGAAGTAAGTGCCCTTGAAGAGAGTGTGCTCCAGAATGCCCTCCACGCCACCTAGGGCCTGAATCATATCTGTGCGGTAGTTGTTGAGGTTCCAGAGCTTGCCATCATGCCGCTGATGTGTCCACCAGAAGGGGTTTTGCTTCAAAACCTAGACAGTGAGGCAAGTATGGTGAAGCTTCCAGGTGCCTCCCACCCTAAGTGACAGGGATGCCAAAAGCTATCCTGATTTACAGAAATTCACTCCATTCTCCACTCCACATACCTGATACTGCTTGAAGTCAGTTCGGACACGCCAGCCTTTATCATAAGCTAATGTGTGCCGGTCCTTCTGGAACAGGGTATTGATCCGTGGAATGCCTCTATCCCATGAATCTTCTAAATCCTCTAAAGTCAGCCGTCTGCCAGAAAAAATAAAGTCAACATCCTTTCTCATACAAAGAGAAAGATTCAACATGCTTTAGCCAAGGATGAACAGAATCTTCTTAACTCCTAAAAAACATATTTTGAGCCTGGCGGTGGTGGTGTACACCTTTAATCTCAGCACTCGGGAGGCAGAGGCAGGCAGATCTCTATGACTTCCAGGCCAGACTGGTCTACAAAGCAAGTTCCAGGACAGTTAAGGTTACACAGAGAAACCACCTCGAAAAACAAAACAAAACAACAACAACAAAAAAAACATATTCCGCCCATGACCTCCACATAAGACTCCCAGTGTTGTGACCCAACCCCAGCCCTTAGATTGGTACACCCTCGTGGATGCCCACCTGTTCTGAGCAATAGCCTCCTGTCTCTTGAGTGCATACTCAGCCCAGACCCGTTGAGAGTCAATGAACTCACTCTCCCACGGCTGTATGTAGCGGTATAAATTGGGAATCAGTTGGTCTTCTTCATGACTCATTCCTGAACGGAAGTGTGTGATACCCACATCGGTTTGCTTGGACCACCTGTTTTGCAAAATTGAGAAGAGATAAAATCAAAAGTAACAAAACACCCACTTCCCTCAGAGTCTACGCAATGAGACTAATATGAAAGTTGTCAAGCAAGCCCTACCTGAGGTCAGACTGGGGGATGAGCACATGACAAAAAAAACAGGTGGGAAAAAACCCCCAAAAATAAAAACGAAAAAAAAAAAAAAAAAAGCAGACAATACAATATAAACAAAGTGAACAAAATTTCACAAAACTTTTCATCTGTAATAATATATTAATACATAAATGAAAAATTACTGTGGATTTTTTTAGAATAAGCTGTCAAACTTCTGTTTAGTGATTTCAAATACAATATTCCTTTGGGGTGATGATCAGATCAAAAAAGGAAAACAGCGCTGCTGATGGAAGGAAGAATTAATCAGGAAGCAGCCTTAGGGCCCTTACAAAGCAAAGCTGTCAGTCAGACTACCCCATTAGGTGCATCACTCCATTTCCCTGGAATTCAGCAAGGTCTTGTTTGAATGGTCCAGCCTTAAATTAGGACTCATGCTTGAGCTAAATGTACCACACGCACCTAACGCAAGAGTGGTGGCACCCAAGGTGGTAATGACATTATGACTCTAACAAAATTGGAGGGAATGGAAAACTGAGAAAGTGACGGACACCTATAGTCTCAGCTATTTGGGAGGCTAAGATCAGTGGGCCACTTAAGCCCAGATGTTCAAGACCAGTCTGGGCAACATAAGAAAATCTTTTTCTCAAAATATGGGTAAGGCCCTGAGTTCAATCCTCAGGATAGCAAAAAAAAAAAAAAAAAAAAAAAAAAAATTAGCTCAGTAGAGTTAAGTTTTGCTGTCAAATCAGAAGGACCTCAGTTTGACCCCTGGGGCCTCCATGCACAGGCTATGGCACAGACACCGAATAAATAAAGAGGAGGAGGAAGAAGAGCTTTAAGGGCCATCCAACTCCAGCCTCCTAGAAATTTTCCTTCCATTATGCCCCCCAGGGGCGGTTATAAGTTTTTGGCTGTGGTTCTGTATGATGTATACACCTGTCAGTATGAATGTGTATATACATATATGTGTGGAAACATGTATGTGTGGAGGCCTGAAATCAATGTCAGGTGGCTTATGCCTATAATCCCAGTTCTTAGCAGGCTAAGTCAGAAGGATCAAGAGTTCAATGCCAACCTGAATTATAGATAAAGCTTGCCCCAAGAAGCAAACAAATAAACAAAACAAAGGAAAATGGTAAACAATTCAAATCTAACATTATGATCTTATAATCTCTAATTAATAAAAGCACTTTATAAAATAATACAGTTTATTGGCTTACTATACACACACACACACACACACACATTTTTTTGTTGTTGTTTTTTTGAGACAGGGTTTCTCTGTGTAGCTTTGGAGCCTATCCTGGAGCTTACATGTATTATTTCATTAATTTCACAAAAGCCCTCTGAGTTAGAACTGTGGTTATTCTCACTTTATAGATAAGGGGGTAGAGTGCAAGGGCAGGAGGACCTGCCCGAAGTCTCAACAGACCCACAATCCAACTTGACTTTAGACCAAGTGACTGGATTCTCAGTCACTCCTCTACCAGGCTCCGAGCAGGGCAGAGATAGGAGGACTGCTGGAACTCACTGGCTTCCAGTCCAGCCCCAAGCCCTGACTCAAAGGAATAGGAAGAGGGTGACAGAGCAGCACAACACCCCACCCTCACCCAGTCATGCACACACAAACAAAAATCCTTTTAAAGGAGGGGCAGCAGGAATGGCAGGAAAATAAAGGAGAGTAATAAGAGGTTAATATGGTTATAATACATTGTATACAATTAAATTATACAAAAAAAGTAAATAAAAGTAAAAAGCCAGAAAACAAAACAAAAGCCCTGTCTTGACATACAGTTCCCTCTAGGAGACTTCTAACTATCTACTCCTGTTCTGGCACATTCTCATTTATGTCTCCACTCACCTCCCATAAAATCTCATCCACACCATCTGGCTTCCATACAAATTATTTCTGAAATAGCTCTAAGGTCACCAATGACGTCCTAACTGCCAATTCCACTGGCTCCTATTCAGTTCTTATCTAACCAAACTGTTCTTAGGCAACTGACATTGTTAAACACCTGCTCAATTCCGCACATCAGTTCCTGACAGCCTTGACTCCCCATATCCCAGCACTGTCTCTGTTCTGGTCAGTACATCTCAGTGTATCCCATTATCCAAACCTTCCCCTTCTCTTATCACCCTCCACTCTTCCTGGTGATCTCATGCTTCCTTAAGCTTTCAACCTTTACATCATGAGACTCCCAGGTCTGTACCTTCCTCACACCCAGGGCTAAATGGCAGTATTTCAGGACATGTTTGGTTCTAACAGAGAGAATGTTACTGGCATCTGATAGTGCCAAACGACACACAGAAACTCCCACAAGAAATCACCTAGCTGAAAATGTCCATGTCCATGAATGTTTAACATTTTAGCCAGGTGTACTGGAACACACCTGCCATCCCATCACCCAAAAAGAAACTGGGCATAGCAACACATGCCCAAAGGCCAGCTACTCCAGAGATGAGGGCAGGAGGAACCACCAAGACCAGTCTTGATAACAACACCAAGGGGGTACAAAAGCCAGGTGCACACCTGTATTCTCAGCAAGTGACAGGCTGATGCAGTTGTCTCAACTTTGAGATCCTATTATAACCACCCTCTTCCCACAAATAAAACAAGCCAGAACAGATATTCTAAGCTATTACACAGTAAAGAATTATAAAATTAAAGAGGCTGGGTGATGGTGGTGGTACATGCCTTTAATCCCAGCACTCAGGAAGCAAAGGCAGGTGGATCTCTGTGAGTTCAAGGACAGCCTGGTCTAACAGAGCGAGTTCCACAACAGCCAAGGCTACACGGTGAAACCCTGTCTCAAAAAAAAAAAAAAAAAAAAAGCCAAAACAAGCCTAAGGGAAAATGAAAATTAGATGCTTTTGTGCAAATTAAAAACTCTTACTTTTGTCTTAATGTAAAAAAATCATCAAAATAAAAATCCTCAAAACCCCACAATGCAGTCTGATACATTCTTGTAGTGAAGTCTCAGAAATAAAGCCCAATTGATCCAACACTCTAGGCTGCCATCCCATAAAACATGGAGATTAGTATACTAGGCAAAGCTGGGAAAGAGCAACCTCAAACCACAGCAGGAGTTGAAAAGGACAAAGACAGACAGAGAATGGCAGAGAATTGGAGCCTTAGGGCCCAACATACCTTGGTAAAGGTGGTGGAGCCAGAGGCCATTAGAATCTGACGAACTCGGTTATGGAAGCGTTGCATCGACTCATCGTCCACACGCAGGAAACATTGCGCTGTCCGCTCCTTGGTAACCTAAACCACAAAATCAGAGGCTCTAGATGGGCTGATGACATGGTTTATAGCAGGCAAACGTGCTTGCTACCAAGCCCTATTTCCTGAGTTCAATCCCCAGAACCCACAGAGTGGAACTAACTACAAGCTGTCCTCCAAACTCCACAAAAATAACAAGGCAATAAATAAGATGAAAAGCTAACATGGTATGCATGCATTTAATCCCAGAATGCAGATTCCAGGGAGGATCTTGGTGAATTCATGGCCAATCTGGTCTATATAAAATTCCAGGTCAGCCATCACTGAACAGTAAGACCTGTCTCAAAGAAAAAATAAAAAGGGAATAGCAGGGAATGGTGGCACATGCCTTAATCCTAACCTGTGGGAGGTGGAGCCAGAGGCAGGCTGATCTCTGAGACAATCAGGGCCAGTCTGGTCTACAAAGTAAATTCCAGCCAGGGCTACACAAGCAAGGATTAATCGTGATCACTACTAAGCTCAACCCACCTAAGGGTCACTGAGCTGATAATGAAAAGGTGTGACTGTTTTTCACCCCATTGATGCCAGAGTTACAAGGGTGGTAAAGTGATGTCCTTCCTAGACTGTACCTCATTCTGAAGGTTCCAGACCCCATCCTTGTGGGTGAATTCTTCATAGCTGGTACGGCACTTAGGCAGGATGCGGCACTCAAAGCCACACATGTTGAACAGCAGGTTGGGGTTGTCTTTACTGTACACAGACACAAAGCTATTCTCCCATTGTACTGTAGTCACTGATCGTGGCAGCCGGTTTTTGATGTCCCAGAACACTGCCCGACCCCTGTCCACAGAGAACAAATAAGAATTTCAGTCTGTTGAAGACACTTGCATTCATAGACCAGACAGAAGATAGGCCCATATTCCTCCTACCCAAGATATAACCTCCTCAATTTTAATTGCTTTCTGGGTCCCTAGGACTGGCATTCTTTCTACTCCTACAAGCCCAACTGAGACTCACAAGTTGACATCATGCTTCATGAGGCGCATTCGGGCATCTCGGGGCCAGCATTTCTTGTTATTGTAGCCAACAATGTTTTCATTATTGGGGTCTGGATGCTCCGTCAGGTAACGCTGGATCAGATCCCGAGCTTCATCTGCTGTGAACCTACATTAAGACAGGGGACACTTTGAGAATGCCAGCTCCACAAGTGGGGACCCTATGCTACTCTAGACTTCATTTCACTTCATAGCTTCAACTCAGCAACTAGTCAACTAAGCTACAAGAGCCATTTCACAGGCAGGACATGCCTCAGTGCTGTGAGGACATGCAGGTTAAAGGATCAGACCATGTTCTTTACCTGAAGAAAATATGAATGCGATCAATGTATCTACAGAAGAGTCGGATTGGGTGAGCAGCCTCAGTGGCTATGTCCTGGAAACTGAGAAAGTCGTTTGGCATCTGAGGAGGCCCAGCCATCTCACTGGCCCGGTGCAATCCCAATACAAGCAAATCCATCACCAAGCCATAGTACTGTACAATGAAAGAGGCAAACTGCAGGCCTCTGATGATCCCATATGAGTTTGTATGGTTCATGTCCTAGGAAAAAAAAACAAAAACAAAAACGCACAACTCTTAGTATGGCTAAGACTGGCTCTGTCCCAGGTGCTTCAGGGTCCAATCTCCTTCACTCTGCCTCAGCAAATCCTAACTCGATGGGTCAGACAAACCCCCTGACACATTTTGCTACTTGCTCCAAGACAGACCTTATAGTTAATGACAACATTGTTCTTGGCTGTCATGTAGTCAGCTATGTTGTGGTCCACAATGAGTCGCAGCAGCCTATTAAGCAGGGTCAAGTCAATCTTTTCATACATCTTCTCAAAGCGGGACTCCAACATGACATTGCACTCGCCCTCACTGGTCTCCCACACATCCTGCAGGTTATTGATGCCTAAAAGAAGCAAAAAGACAAGAGTTTAGCAGATTAGAAATTCCTTTCCAGGTTTAGTAACTAACTATAGCAGTCTCAACACATTCCAAAACCCTCTACCATTCATTCATTCTGGCTGCTACAAGTGTCAGTTTTGCTCAACATCCACACTATTCATTTTTCCCCCTCTCAAGACAGGGTTTCTCTGTATAGCTCTGGCTGTCCTGGAACTTGCTTTGTAGACCAGGCTGGCCTTGATCTCATCAATCTGCCTGCCTCAGCCTCCTGTAAGCTGGGATTGTAGGTGTGTGCCACCAGTGCCAGGCAATAGCACTCATTCTTACCACGCAAAGAGAGCAAACTGAATGTGCAGCCTGGTTCTTCATTTTTACATGGACAGAATCACCTTTCTCTGCTGGGTGGGAACTGCAGCGAAGTTTACCTTGGCACCACTTGTAAACGAGCAGTGGAGGCGGCTCCGTGTCGGCAGGCTTGATCCAGGGTGGGAAAAGACGGCGCTTATCTGCTTCATACCACAGGTATTGGTCCAGGTAGGCATCAGTTATTTTCTCCAGGGGCTCCACGTCATACACTGGCACCAGGTGGCTATAGAGATCCATAAACTCAAGGCCCACCTGGGGGACAAGAAACCTGGTTCACATCAATTCACCAGCCAGCCTGGCATCCTCTAGATGCCAAGGATAAATAGCACAGACCAAAAGGCTCAGGGAGCATCACTCACTTCCTTAAAGGCTCTCTGCGTGAGGAGGTGACGCTTGATGCGGGACAAAGCCTCATGGGGGTTGTCATAGGCTTGCTCGATCAGACCCAGCTCTTCCCTCTGAGACTGGTTTAACCTAGACTTCACACTAACAAAGCAAAGGAAAGGTGAATGAGAAAACCCAAGAAGTTGCAAAAGGACTACACCTTTCTTTGGACTCGGGCCACAATGCCATTCCCTATTACCCTCCCAGTCATTCCTTACCTATAAGCTTCCTTGAGGCGTTCCAGAGCTAGGATGAGCAACTTGGTGTCATGCTTGTAGGAGAGTGGAGGGAATGGGATGGGAGAGAATCTACGGCTTTCCAACCAATGCACAGTGGTAGTATACACAGCCACTGCTTCTTCTGCTGTAATGTAAGGCCCATCCTGCAAGGTGAACATGAATGAAGCTAGTCTCCCACTATCATCCAAACCAATACAAAGCATGATCTCCACTCTGCAACCCACTTTACCACCCAGCCCAGCTGGTCCAACCTTCAGGTAATTGTGCTGCCGTTCCTGTTCTGCCTTCAGGTACAGGCGGGGGAGGCGGCCCAGGTTCTTTTTGCAAACAGTCTTGTCTACAGTGGCCCCACGGCGGATTCGTTCACGGTTGTAGTGAGCAGTATTGGTCCACCAATCAGCCTTGGCCTTAACATACCGAAGAATCATATTCTCTATAGGTGTTGGCAGGCCTGGGACCTGAAAATACAAACACAATGAAAAAGTAAGTTTCACGCCCATGTCCCAGCATAAAGGCAGACAGATCTCTTGAATTTGAGAGCACCCTGGCCTGCAGAGTTACAGGTCAGCCAGGACAACACAGTGAAACCACCTCAAGAAAGGAGGGGTTGGGGTAATAGAAGGTGGAAGGCCCTCTAAAGGTACTCTAATCCTAACCTCAGGAAGATGAATGGCTATGTCTTCTTGGAGGCAGAGGAAAGCCTACCTTCCAGGGAATGTTGGCCTTCCAGCAGCGCCAGGCTTCACTGAGGTGCTGCAGAATTGTTCGGGCCTTATTCTGTTTGATGCCTTCAGGCATCATGTCCAGAATATCGTGCATCACAGCTGCCCTAAGCTCAAGGTCAAAATGGGACTCCACTCTTTGCTTTGTTACTGTCTTTGCTACCCCCTTTGAGTGACGGCCTGGAAGTGAAGAGACAGCCCATAGATTACATCAATAAATAGTAACAAAGTGACCATATGTTCCACACATGCAAAAAGACAAGCCACCTTAACATTCTCAACCATACTTCTGAGGAACTTGTACTGCAACTGCATGATAGCTCAAATCTGACAGAGTAGCTAAGAACAAGAATACGAAGGAAAAAAAAAAGGTATGCATCACCATACCTGGTGCTGGAGAAATGGCTCAGAGGTTAAGAGCACTGACTGCTCTTCCAGAGGACCTGGGTTCAATTCCCAGCAACCACATGGTGGCTCACAACCATATATAATGAGACTGCTGCCCTCTTCTGGAGTGCAGGCAGAACATTGTATACATAATAAAAAAATAAAATGTTAAAAAAAAAAAAAAAAAAAAGCTGGGCGTTGGTGCCGCATGCCGTTAATCCCAGCACTCGGGAGGCAGAGGCAGACGAATCTCTGTGACTTCGAGGCCAGCCTAGAGCGAGTTCCAGAACAGCCTCCAAAGTCACAGAGAAACCGTGTCTCGAAAAAACAACAACAAAAAAAGAATACAAGGTGAGATTCATCTGAATTGAACTTAGAAGGACAGATGACAAAAACAAACCACAAAAAAAAACCAACAACACGGGACAGCAGGCACACCTGACCTACCCTTGAAGCAATGAGAGAAGGTGAGTAGAGAAAATCACTTACCTTCAAACTGTCGGGCCAGGAGGTTGCCCAGCCATCGCTCTAGCAAAGGTGTAATTCCACGCATGAAGAACAGCCAGACTCGCCAGCCAGCAGCCCAGAAACCACAGCCAGGGCCTTTCCCTACAGGGCCCTACAATCAAGCAAAAATCAGGAACATAAATGAACAATTCTTTTAGGAAAAGATAGAAAACAGGGTAGAAGTAGAAAAGAAGGAGAATTTGACAGGCTGCTAAGGAGACAGGGTAAATGTTCTTGAGTCCTCACAATCTAGAAAATGAGAACTTCAAGGCAGAAAGTGAGGCTCCTCCTTGGGAAAGAGCTCCACCTGCACGGAAAGCAAAAGAGCATCTGAGGAGGTAGGTAGTGAGGGCGGGATCTCACCGTATTGAATCGGTAATAGATGAGATGCTTCAAGTCCTTGCACATGCGGATCTGCCTCATCAGTTTATATTTGTATCGATACATGCCGGTTAACTGCCCCACGTGGGCAAATATATACTGCAATCCATCTGCCAGCTGCAATAAAATCACCCATCAGACTTCGAGCCTGAACTGGCTCCACAGCCAGCACAGGCTTCACCCTGCCTCCCCATCTGGGCAGAGGTTCAAGCAACACAGCCTCACCTGGAAGGCATCCACATTGCCCAAGCGGTACTGCACATGACTATCCACAACCAGCTTAGTTAACCGCAGTACTTCCCGACACAGATGGAACGCATTCCCAAAACGAGATTTTTTTCTTTCCTGAGAAGGACAAGAACAGAAAGTACATTAATGACAGTGGCCACAAAAGGAGTTATGCCACAGTGCCATCCATCCCTAAGCCCAGCAGGGCCTTGAGGCCTGATGAAGGCACCTTGGTAGTGAGCGTCTTGACAGGCTTCAGGTTGAAGTTATAGTCCAAGTGCAGGTAGTTGAGGTTCTTCCGGTGAATGAGAAGGTTGAGCATGTTGTAGCCCTGGCGGCAGACCTGCAGCCCCACCTCCACCCAGTCTAGCTTTGTGGACTGAAAGAATTTGGTAGCTTTGAATGAGCGGAACAGATACCTGGGTAAGAATAAAGAAGAGAGTTAAAGCTGGCACACTGACACTTGGACAGAGCTGTAGCAGGGGCTTCCAGCAACTTACCTCTTCTTTTGGGCTTTAGGAGGCCGATGCTTGAGGGCATTCAGCACATAGTACTTAAGCAGCTTCTGATAGGAGACTCGCACCTTCACAGGCTGCCCAGCAGGACAATGCTCCCGATACCTGGGTAAATAAGCCCATCAGAGCTTTGCCCACATCTCCTTCAAGACACTCTGGGAAAGGCTGCAACCCCATCCAAATAAAGTCTTTTCTCCTATATTATCCCTCTACCACTAGCCCCTTAGGTAGAAACCTTACCAGTTCTTGACAAGAGGTATGTCCAGGGCCCGGCGGGTACGACCAGAGCGTAGGTTAAAGGGCCGTGGTGCCCAGAGCAGGGCAATGCCATTGGCTGTATTGTCTGTATAGAGGGGTGTGTCCTTCAGAAAGGGCTCCACAAACTCAGGGAGTTCAAATTCCTCATCATCATCAGGCAATGGTTCCTGGCTCTGAAAAAGAAATCCTCCAGGGTTCATTTTCTACTATGTGCAGACTTGAGATGAGCGGAAAATTCTCTGGGACCAAGCATCGTGGCTACATGTGCCATGAAGATTCAGATGCCTGACAGTAAAAGCCCGAAAGAGCCTGGCAAAGGAGTCAAGGGAGCAGAGAAGAAGACCAAGCTAAACAGGAAATCAACCCATCCACTTACCACTAAAAGCCTCCCAAAGGAGTACTATACCATAGGAGGTGCCCACTGCAGTCAGTTATGACTGAACTCCAATGAGCTTAAGGAAGGAGGCCTGAAACCCCAGCACTTAGGGAGAGGCTAAGACAAAAGGTCTGAGAGTACAAACCAACCTGGAACTGCACAGTCAATTTGTGTCAGCCTGTACTATATGTTCAAAAATAAAAAAGCGGGGTAGAGGCTGCTGAGAAGCAGAAATCTTGCCTAGCATGCATCAGACCCCAAGCTCACACCCCATAACGCATGTGATTTCATCTTACCTTGACTGAGTGTCTATGAGAGATTGGGTTGATCAGAGGATCAAAGTAGAAAGCTGGCAAATCAGGATCCTCAGTCTTGATGAATACAACATTAGGAGTGTGGTACCTACAAGGAAAGCAAGAGTCAATCACAGCTCTGCTCTGGACCAAATTTATATGGGTTTTCTCCTGTCGAATTGCTATATTCCAGGTGTCTTACCAGGTCAGGTGGACATGGTGTGGAAGGTTGTTATACAGGTAAGGAAAAGCAATCTTGTATTCAGTACGAATAGGCTGACGGATGATGATCTTATTAATATCATTGAATTCATTCCAGTCTTCATCCCTAGAACAGGAAACCGGATAAGTAGTCTAGCTCCATTGCTAGACAAGAATCTTAAGGATAAAAATTAGATTTTAATACATACAAAGTGCCTAAAATTGGCAGGGTGGTGATGGGCGCGTGCCTTTAATTCCAGCACTCGGGAGGCAGAGGCAGGCAGATCTCTGTAAGTTCAAGGCCAGTCTGGTCTAGAGTGAGTTCCAGGACAAGCCCCAAAGCTACACAGAGAAACCCTGTCTTGAAAAACCAA